AATTGGCAAAAAGTCCAAATACCAAATTGGCAAAAAAGTCCAAATACCAAATTGGCAAAAAGTCCAAATACCAAATTGGCAAAAAAGTCCAAATACCAAATTGGCAAAAAGTCCAAATACCAAATTGGCAAAAAAGTCCAAATACCAAATTGGCAAAAAGTCCAAATACCAAATTGGCAAAAAGTATAAATACCAAATTGGCAAAAAGTACATAATTGTTGGACAAAAGTCAAGACTTCTGATCGAGTGAAGTTATTACAATGTTACTTGGTGGAGCTGAAAATAAGTTCAACATTCCAATTAACCCAATTTTTGGGATATTACAATAGGGTTTGATTTTAATGTTACAACAACAACAACAATACAATGCAGTTGACACATACTCGGGAACAAGCTAAGGAAAATTCTCTCCAGCATTGTAGGATGCTCTTCCTTTTTCCAAACTTAAATTCGTCAAAGGAAATAGCTTCTTCCATCTTCATAGTTCATCCTGCAAGGTCAAGGGGAAAGAAAAACGAAAATGAAAAAGAAATCACAATAAAGTTCAAATTTCAACTTGACTAGCTTTGAAAATTATATTTGACCTTTGGCAAGGATGTCAGTAATGAAATGATCATATGGTTTCAAGATTTCAGCAAGGTTGTATGAAAAAACTACCCCACTGGTAGGGTTATGTTTTGAACCATTAAATATGTACCAAATTCTGTCATTTTACGTACTTTTCATTTTAACGTGATTTTGAACATATCTAATGTTTAGCATGCACCTCTGAAATATCTGCTGCAAAAAGCTCCCTTACCAAATAAGTAAAATGGTAAAAGGCAAGCATGCAAGGACAAGCAAGGTCTTGCTTTATTTAGGTACTTAATTCATTTTTCTAAGCTTCTAATACAATCCCCATAAAATGCTTAATGATCACATTAGGTCCAATTGTTTTATACCCATTCATCAGTTTATATGTTGTATGCAGCAAGTGATCGCCTAGACAAATAGAACAGCATTGATTTTTAGGGAGTCCAGTTGTTTGGTCATTGATTTTTGGATTAATTACAAAAATTATTCTTGAATTATACATTTTATAACACTTTGCCACCTGATCTTTAAAATGTAACATATGTTCTCCCTGAATAATGAAATGTTAACTAAAAAGCTCCCCTCCATTAGATTTTTAATTGAAGTTTGACATTTAATTTGCTATTTTAAAGTTATTTTTATAATTTTATGATTTAAAATTTAAACTAATTTAAATATTCAAAAAAAAAACTTCATAAATTTTTTTATTCTTCCAAAAAAAAAATTTCATAAAACTTTTTTAACTTACATTCAATCAATAATGGATGTGTCATAATTAAAAGTTTGAACTTAAATTAGTTTTAAATTCAAACTAAATTTTAAACCATATAGCTAGCAAAATACCCCAAAATAACAAATTACATGTCAATTTCTCTTAAAAAACTTAACGAATGGGGCTTTTTTGTTAACATTTCATTATTCATGAGGAACAGATGTTACATTTCAAAGATTAAAGGGCAAAGTGTTACATGGAGTATAATTTAAGGGGAGTTTTTGTAATTAATCCTTGATTTTTAAGTGAATGACAAGAAGATGGGGCAAAGTGTTACAAGGAGTATAATTTAGGGGGAGTTTTTGTAATTAATCCTTGATTTTTAAGTGAATGACAAGAAGATATGGTAACCGCAACAAATAAAAAATTTTCATAAAACAGAGTGTAACACAACAGGAGTAAATAGGAAAATAAAAGCGACCAAAGATAGAGATGAAAGTAATTCTTCCTTACATGGTAATCATCCATGTAATCCCGTGGATCATGCTGCAAGACAAGATTTTTCTTTGATTAGACTCTAAATATTAAGAAACATTAACTATCATCATCATCATCATCATCATCATCATCATTATTATTTTTATTATTATTATAACTATCCAACCTACTAATTTACAGTCTTTTGGGGGAAAGGGATGATATAATCTTCTGTCACAAGTGTATGTACATTTTCACCGTTATTGCACAAGTCGCAATTATTTCCAAAAAAAAAAAAAAAAAAAAAAAGGATTTCCTCACTTTTATGACTTCAATGATTACCATACCAAGTCCACGTATTTGTGTGGTTTTTAAAAGTAATTCATATAGAAATTTGTATTCTACAGACTCCCATGAGTGCCTTCTAAATTCTTAACAACTCAATATTTTCGTGTTATTATCCTAATTCGTGTGATTTAATTATGAAGCAAACGGCATAGGCTTTGTATAGCAAAAATATTATAAACCTGCTTTACCATATTTTTTAAGAGAAAAAATTAACTTTACGACTTAGCACTAGGAAAGATAACTTTTCAAAAAATAAAAATAAAAATAAATACAAGCAACACTATTAAAGGAACTATGCATGAGATAAGTTCATGGATACAATACCCTTCTATGGCGTTTTCTATCTCCATAGCGGCGATCCCTATCTCTCTTCCTCTTTTCACCTTCCTCTCGTGCCCTTCTAGCCTCCTAATGAGCAATGAAATTCAAATAAAAAACAGCTCAGCTATGACATCAGAACACAAACTGCAGAAGTGATGAAACTTCTAGTTAATTACCTCTTCTTCGCGAGCTCTTCTCTCCTTCTCTGCCTCCTCAAAGGCTTCTTTCTCAGCCTAAAGTTTCATGCATTTTGAACATGCAAGTTAGCTAATTGTAGTAACCTAGGTGATAAACATAATGTCTTAAGAGGACAGACACCAACCTCCCTATTAGCAAATACTTCCTCAACTACTTGCTTCGCATACTGAGGATCATCACAGATCAAAATATTGTCGAAAATTGAACCTGCCTTCACCTGCAATGCAATTGGTGAGGTTACGGATCCCGAAAAAAGAGAAAACTGAGGAGATGAAGCATTTTTTTCTTTTTTTTTTTCAATTCTTCCTCTATTGCTGAAGCTTCCTCCCCTCCTCTTGAAGGACCTAGAACATTCCTTTTCTGTTTCCCCTTTTAATTTAAAGATATAAGATAAAATAGGATCTGAATCCAGTTTGTATTAGTTTGAAAATCAAGAACTTCTTGGATTGCATAGGATGAGGATTTTGGGAGGGCGGTTGGGAAGGGGGAACCCCAAGCAGAGAAGAATAATTCATCAGCACGTGAAAGTTTAAATCGGAATAAAATGCATTGTTTCGAGATGCCATCAACTTGCTATTGCAAGAATGAAAGATAACTTGAAAAAAAAATAATAATCAACTATTTGTAATCAGAGAACTTATCAACTGTCTGCAGAACTCAATTAAATTTACTACCAACTCTTTAAGCAGGAAGATATTTTGGCTTGTTGAATGCAAGAGGATGGGACATGTACTTTTCTAGACGTGAAAATTATAATGATCTTCATAAAACCTACCTGCCAAACTTCAATGCCCACATATTTTATTGGCTTCAGCACATAAAGGTCAGGATCATCTTCAAACTCTGCACATAATACGATGAAAAGATAAGCGAAATTTCCTCACTGATCCAGTTTACTGGACGTATGACATCAGAGCATTGCACACACATTCATATATTCATGCATTGTTCCATGTATCAATACTTGCTTCTTTATCATGCATACACGAACTAAGACAATGTTCACATGATGCATAAATAGCCATTAGAAAGGTCATTCCAGATATTTAACTCTCATACTAGTTATGGGAACTATCCTTTCTCATAGATACGAGAGAAATTTTACATTTGTTTTTCCTTTCCAACTGGTTGCCAACAGATATTGAGTATGTTTGGGAAAAATAAAAAATAAAAACTTCCACTACTAGCTTATCAAAATACTCTTTTTCATTCATCCTTCGCTTATGCAGGACCACCACTCAAAGCTAATTTTAGTTTCCGATGAGTAATATAATCAAGACACGAAGAGTTGCTTAAGTACACCAACTTACCTGGGTTATCAATCCATGGAGTCTTCCACTTTCCCTTATAGTTGGGGTTCTTGATTTTCTGTCATATGCATAAGTTCATATGATTAGAAACTCAGGAGAAAGAATAAGTTTTCAATTTTTAACGCCCAAGTTAAAAGCACCTTGCGCTTCCATGGTCCTTTATATGCTGGATTTGGGATCTTTGGCGGTCTCCATATTCCATCCTCTTCATCATCCCAGTCATTAGGCTATTCAAAAAAGCATAAAAAATAAAATAAAATAAAAAGTCACATGCTGGAAAAGTCCCTTCAAGGAATTTCATTATCAACTGAAACCATACTAACATACATAAATGCTTCAGAACAATCATTCAAATCTACCTTCAAGAAAAGAGAGAGAGAGAGAGAGAGAGATAATTTGCACATAAGAATATTTATTTGACGTATACGTTTAGCCTTTAGCATGACCTTGAATCAGCAGTTAAGAGGTGAGTTTAGTTTCATTCAGATTTTAGCCAATAAAGGTTCCACATCGTACCCAAGATAAACAGAAACATATTCCTTCTTACAGTATGAACTGAAGTAATGAGACAGCATATCTACCGGGTAAAACAAGTTATATGATAAAGTAAACTACAAACCTCTTTCGCCTTTGGATCAGGAATTTCGGCAGGAATTGAATCATATCCCTATAATATTAAAACAAATCGTTTGAGTTTCATAAACATCGGAGGAATTTTTCAATCAATTATTGGAGCCAAGTATGATACCTCTGGTTTGACATCATTTGGGTCATCAATGTACTCTCTATCATCCCAGTCCTTTGGCTGGAAGGAGAAGGCAAGTCAATAGGAAGTCAACAGCATATACACTTCAGCTTCAAACCCCGGACAACTCTCTTAAGCTAAATGATCAATATAGATGGATCTCCTAATTTGAAACATAAAATACCTTTTTTGCCTTAACATCCTTGATTTTTTGTGGAGGAAGGATATCCCAATCTGTATACATACTTCCAGAATCTCTCTCTCGATTATCAACCAAGACACTGTAAGTTGCATCAGGCCTTAGAATAAATGTATAGAAATGAGTTAACTTGTCGGTTTCACATTGAAGATCCTTTTTTATGGGATAATTCTGGCCCTGGTATGAAAGTATAACGTGGAGCTTCTTTTTCTGCGAGCCACATAAATCTGGTCCAATCATCAAACTGCAAAATTAATGCAAATGGTCAGCAAAATTCTCTCTACCATATTGTGACGTGTCACGACTCAATAAGAATTTAAAATGGTATTCAATACCCAACTAGTGAAACTTAAAACTGAACACCCTGGGTTATGATATGCTAATTTACTTGTTAACTCAAGCATATTCTAGTTAAACCACACAGAATATGCATTAACAAAAAATTTATTGAGTCACCCATCAAATCTGTTGTTGGTATTTTAAGCAATGTGTTATAGTTTTTTTAACCAACTGGAAGGCTCAATTGGGAACAAGCGGAGATTGTAGTGATAGACGAGTAAGTAATGTGTAAGAATCTGCCCCTGGGAGGGGAACAACGTCTGGAAACAACTGCTAATGGCCTGTAGGCTGGGAAGCACAAGGTGGAATGCACCCAAGGAGAAGCTTGTGTCGGATTAACTAGTTGGGTGAGGCAATAGCTTACCAAGGGAATGAGACTAGAATACTTATTATAGAATGCAAGTATGCAACCCATTTGTATTTCATTCTTACTTTTCTCTTGCCTTAACTTTGCTTTTCTTTGCTATATGGAATTGAAGACAAAGGCGAAGGATGCTCTAGCAGATCAAGGACAAAGTAAAAGTAGCAAAGCAACCAGTCAAATTGATTCCTCCGACAAAGAAATGATCTTTGCACTTCATTATGGATGAAGGGCAACTAGACTCACTGCCATAACCATATAGTGGACATGTTAAAGTGGAGTTTTTAGCCCACAATCTAGAAAAAAGGACAGGGAACAGCATAATATAGTCAGCACCAAATGAGAATCAACGCAGGACATGATTGGGACCCACAATGGTTTAAGTTAGCGGTTGGTACCCTTTAACCACAGCCGATCTCCCACCTGGAACTTATGATCAATTCCATCTTTGTCGAGCCTTTGTTGATGTTGCCTCTTTATTTTCTCCAGAGTATCAAAAACCTGATCATGGTACCGCCATTCTCCAAAAAACTAACAGCGCAAAGTTGTTTAGCTGGCCGCCTTGTTATGAGATAGGAGGTGTGTCATTGACTAGGTTCACCTTCACCTTGCAGTAGGAAGGTGTAAGTTACTGGATGGGTTCTAACTGGCCCCAATGGAGGAGGCTTTCGGTACCCCAATCTTACTAGAGATTCATCACTGGATAGGCCTTTCGAATCAAAGCATGGGCATTCACAGCAAAGAGGGGGCTATCGATCAAGGAATCCAACATTTTCCCCGCCAAATGACCTGGGACCGCGATCCAACTTCTTTGTCTGAAAAACTTCAGTATGGGTACATCAAAAGCACCAGTGAATTGGGATGTCCCTATTCGACCAGGTCATTTCAGTGCAAGCTGCAAGCATATCATTCATGATGAAGAGGATGGGCTCCAAGAGAATGATTCGGAATCCTTGCAAGGTGGAACCATGCTATACCATAGATGAGACAGATTTTGCGCAGAACTTCAGCTTTTTCGATTAAGTTCAGGATAGGAGCTAGACGTTTAAGTATGATTCATATTAAACAAGTTCTTGCAATTTTATGTAAATGGAAGAAACAAATGTTAGTTTGCACTTCTAAAAATAAACTTCAGCTTTTTCGATTAAGTTCAGGATAGGAGCTAGACGTTTAAGTATGATTCATATTAAACAAGTTCTTTCAATTTTATGTAAATGGAAGAAACAAATGTTAGTTTGCACTTCTAAAAATATTAAAAGCCTCAAGAGCTCATACAACACATAAAGCACTATCTTTTAGTCCACTATCTGGAAAAAAATATGAAATAATATATGCCTTTTATAGTAGACTATACAAAACCTTAAAAGCCACATGTAAGAGAAACGAGAGTCTATGTACATGAAAAATTATTGTCACAACAAAAAATCAGTAACATGATTAAAAGTAAAAAGAAATATTAATAGTCACTCTTATTCTGTAATCATCAATAGCTACCGTAATGGGGGTTTTAACTATAACAAATATACAAAACTGTCTAGCGAAACAGATACTAGACCAACGTGTTACATGGAGAAGAATTCTCACAATGTCCGAATAAAAAAA